GTTTCTTGTGTTGAATGATTTACTTTTTTTTTTTTTTGGGTGCGTGCATGTATACATGATGTACTGTTGATTGGTGGGTAGTCCAATGTCCTGTCAGGATTTAGTTCGCATTCAGCTTGTTTTTTTGTTAACCGTAGCTCAAAAATGTCTTTCACACGCTCACTTCAATGTGATTGACACCAGTCCTGTAGTTCTTACTCATGGGGTCTTTGGGTTCAAGTGTTCAGATTTCCATCGTTCCTCTTAACCATAAAAAAGGTCCTTTTCTCTTTGCTGCATTTAAATTGGCGTGTCCATGTCAATGAAACAAGGAGAAAAGCTCTAAAGATACTAACTCAGACACTTACTATCCTTCACTTTTATCAGCATGTAAAAGATTGTGAGCTTAGCTGGCAACCAATCACAATTCCTGCACAACAAGCCAGTTGATGTGTAGAAAATATTTTTTTTATTCGTTGCAATATGAAGCTAATTGTATTTTCATCCTCTATGTTTCATGATCATGCTGTTTATTTTTCTTTTTACACTGTTATGAGTCTGGTAATTGTTAATTGTGTGTGTATATTATGTATGTGTGTGTGTGTGTGTGTGAGTGAGTGAGAGAGAGAGAGAGAGAGAGAGAGAGAGAGAGAGAGAAAGAGAGAAAGAACTGGTCACTATGGGCCCCTTCTCTTTCCATCATTCACACACGTGTACACACTATCTTTCTGTCTGTCTTTTTCTCTTTTGTGAAATGCAATAATTTTAGATTCTTGATAAAAGAGAAGAATAGGGAGCTTTTGCCTGTAAGACCTGTCCTGTGGTAATGGGAGCAGATTAAGTTCATCTGCACACATGTTCATGTATTTTGGATTGTTGTTACCACTTTTTTGGTTTTAAAAAAATTGCTTTTTTCCTGCACTATCGTCTTGTGTTCTTAAAAAGTTCTGTATTCTATGGATCCTACTCTCATTCCATTTTATTGAGTCGTGCTCAATGTAAAATGATGACAAGCTTGATATAAGTAGAAATTGCTTGTTATGTAATTTTGAAAGAATTACATATTAGAAGAAAGTTTGCTGGCCATGACGTTAAATCTCATTGTACAGTTCAGTAAGCTGGGTGAAGTGATGTAACCGGGGCCAGCCGTAGTAATGTTAAGATTTTGATATTTTGATGTAAAAGGAGCGGGTTACTTGATGTTGCATTGCTCCACGTGTATAGGTTTAGCTGTGTATTTTTGGCCCCTATGAATTTGCGGTTGTCTAGCTTGACAGTTGCCATAGTCACGTGGCTTCTGACCTTGTGCATACTTTTGCTTATGAGGTGTTAGTGGATTGAGCCAAGATCAAAGTTTTCAAAAGCAACTGGAGACACATGTTAGTTGTGATGAACAGACTGTTGATTTTGATATTTTGCCAAGAGGGACATGGGCATGGGTTTGATTATGATATATTCATGTCATGTCTAAGTGAAGTATATAGATGATTGGCGTTTTGAATAAATGTATTTATGAAGCCTTACGAATTACTGCATGCTGAGAAAGTTCGCACTGTGTGTATTTTTGAAGTTGAGACTTGCGTCACATGTTTACTATTCAATATGTGAATAAATTTTAATAATTTTGTTTTCCCTGCACTCTAGTCTCATTTTGTTTGCATCTTCCTCCCTGATACACGCGCACACAAGCAAGGGCATGTACACGCGCACTCTATACTTTCGACTACAGTTATTATTACACACATACATATCTTTCCCTTTATCTCCAGGGCCCTCGAAAACCATTTTCTCTGCCTCGGGACAGTTAGTAAACTGTATTTCCCTGTGTGTGTGTATTGATTAAATTGATGAAGTGCAATTGAGTTTGAACGTGCCAAGCACCCTTACTATAAATATTTGGTTGTATCTGATTGAATGAAAGTGTACCCGCATCCTGATGTCACCCCCCCACCCACACACACACGCACTGACTCACACGCATACAAATCCCATTTTAGATTCAATCTCAGAATTAAATGTAATTGTGTCTGAAGATAGGCAAGTGTGTCTTCGTTGTTGTGTATTTCATATTAAGTTTAACCGCGAATGTTTCTGTGGGCGCACTCAAGAGCCCGATTTACTCTTAGCAATCTTGAGAAAAGGTTTTTTCTGACACACCACTAATTTGCGAGAAGTACACATGTCAACTTTCTCTTGGAGCGTGACCTGGTTTATGAATGGGATGTCAGCATCGGTGACAATTTCTCAGACAGAGCAGGTGAAGCAGCGTTTCCTTTCGCACCTTGTCAACACGTGTGCGTGGGGTGGTGGGCGTCTAGCTTGTTCATGTACTTGTTTGAAGTATGCCTGTTTATATATGGTATTTACATAAACATGACCTTTCTTTTTTTTGTATCCCAAATTGGGTGGTTGTCTCATGTGCATGCTTCCATTGATGGGTGGTTGGTGGGTGCTCAAGTGTGGTTTGCTCCTTTGCTGTCAAACATTTATCGTCCTTATCTGTGTCTTTGTTACTCTCTTGTAACACCTCTAGTCTTTGGTACTTATATCATGACATTGTGTTGCAAGTGCTGTGACATGCTTACTTTTAATAAATAAATTGTAGCTATGAACAATGTGAAATGTGCTGTGCGATTTGTTGGTCTTTTGGTTTGGCTAGTGTATGGATGTTGGCAAGCTTTCTCTTTCTTTACTTCTTTTTTTGTGGCAAGTGTTTTACGGTGCATGTACTTGTTACTGAATACGGTCATATGAGTGCGCAGAGGCTTTTTCTGTAGGAAAAAGGCCTGTGAAAATTTTTGTTTGACAATGAGCTCATTCTTTTTTTCCAAGAGCAATGCATTTTGACATTTGATGTTCAAGTTTGTCTTTCCAAATAAAACATATCAATTGGACCTGCAGAGTCTTATTTTGCTTTGCTTTTTTTATTTATTTATTTTTTGTACACTACATTGCGGATTGCCTCCTCAGTCATTGTACTGTACATGTTTAGGCCAAAATAAGTGATTGGTTCGAGAGTGTTGCTATCAAGAGTCTAGGCTTTATCATACTTAATGTTGAATGAAAACAAAAGGAAAAAAGTAACGACCACTGGGAAAAATATTGTGTGTGCTATATATTGTGCTTTTTGATTAGGTTGGACCACGATTTTGCTGAATCAAAAGGATTGGTTGATGTTCTGATGTGTTAGTTCTTGATATTTTTGGTGTATACACTGCAAAGTTACTTTATGTGTCGTATGATTTCATGCCCATGCCGTACTTTTTTCAGCTTTATTTTTCTGTTTATTCAGAGCAGATGGGAATGTTTTTGACACTTGTGTATTGTGTGATTGTTCTGACATTATAAGCCCTCAAGTCACAGCAATTTAATTGTTGAACACTATTACCAGTCCCTGGGGTTCCTAAATTTTTATACCACCCCCACCACGTTTGTACACATTTCCCGTGGGGAAAATTTATAATGCATGTGTATAAGAAATTTTGTTTCTTTCCCCCTCAAAAGCAATTACAACGTATGTGTGTTGCACTGTCACTGTGTATGGTGTTCTATGGGTGATTTGATAGAGTTTCAGAGGCTCAAAAAAGATAAATAGTCTGAGGAAAGAGTCTAGGTGTTCTCGGCTGGGCGCCATTGATCGACTTTTCTTTTTTGCTGCTACTTGTGTTCACTGATTGTTGTTAAGTTTAACTTTATTCATCACATAGAATTTCAGGAGTAGGACTTTCCGGGTAATAGTAAGGAAAACTCAGAAAGCCCCATATATGTAATATATATAACGAGTTGTACTTTAAGTCTCTGCTTAAACGCATTGTGCTTGGAAGGGCTCTTTATATTGTGTTTACAGAAAGTTTCTGAGTTTACATGAACCTGTGCAAAGGGAGGAAGGGATGCAATCATTTCATTTCCTTGTTTTTTAAATTTTAAGTGACCTTCCTTTGGAGGTTGGGGTGTCACTTTTGCCAATTACGCGACGTGACGTAACGTAACTGTTTTGTAAAAGATTTCCAGATTGCGGTTATGAATTATGAATACAAAGGTGTTGAGTTATGAAAAAAGCAGAAAGACCGATTCACTGTTACACTGTGCTGATATGCACTATAACCATAATTTGTCAGGAACAGATGAGGAAACTGTGGGTGAATAGTCATAAAAAAGACCACATGGCCACCCTCAACTGCCTGTCATTTATTGCAACTCCGTAAATGCTTGGATGATATGAAGCATTTTGAAAGACTTTTCTCTAGTGGTTCTTAGAACAAGCATGTTGTTTGTAAGTCGGTACACGTTCTTTGAGCTCACCTGATCACTTGGCTTAATGTTTAATTCTGTAGGCCGATCTAGTGTTCTATGTACAGCATTCACGCATCATGTTCCAGTTCATATAGGCTTAATTAAGATTACAGCCACCCAAACACCAGTGAGACCCTCTAAAAGACACATTTTGAGTGACCAATCAAAAGACTCCCCCCACAAATCGCTTGCCCAGTCCTAGACCCTTGTGTCCGTGAAAAGTTGGGTGTGAAAACACTGTCCGTCACTCTCTTTGTTCTGTGTGAGGGGCAGTCTGGTCAAATATCTGGACTGATTACCTAGACTTATGCAAGCTGTTTAGGTTGTAGTGAAAATTTCCTTTTGTCAAGCTTTACTTGTCGGTGTGTTTCTGGACTGAAGTGTGTGCTAAAAATAAATGACTGTGCGTTAGTATGTTTATTTTATGTACATGTAGTTAAAAAGCCTGTCGTATGACGAAAGTGTGCATTTTAGGGGAGTGTGCGTTTGTATTTTGTGCATAAAAGTGATTACTGTACCTTAAAAAATTGTCTTTTGTTCCTTGCAAGGCAAGGGACACTACCTATCAGGGAAAAAATAGATCTGTTTATAAAAATGGGCCATGGCGTGGTCGATGCACCTGTTTGACCGCAGCTGACATGCAGGGGATGAAGAGGAATAAATGTATTATTTTTGTTTTTTGCAATCATAGGATGAATATCCCTAATTCAATTTTTTAAAATCCCCAGGTTTCTTGCATTTCAAGTTTCAATCTGAAGAGGTTAGGTCTATTGAGAGCTCAAGGAATGAAGACAAGCTAAATGCTTCAAGATGGTGCTAGACTTTGATGTGAAGACATTCTGCCAGAACCTACGGGCAACTAAGCCACCCTATGAATGCCCAGTGAAGACATGCCGCAAGGTGTACAAAAGCTTCTCTGGCATTCAGTTCCACATGCACAACCACAACCATGACTGTCCTGACTCGCCAGGTACAGGGGTGGCTGCCAGTCCTTCAGGCGGGGGAAGAAAGCCAGGCAAAAGGAACAAGAGCAGCAAGTGGCACCCGCGTCAGGCACGCCACTCCCCTTCTCCCCCAGAGTTTAGCCGCTCTCCTCAAAGAGACACACTTAGCTATGTTGAATCTCAAAGACTGGTTGAGATTGATTTTGATGGTTGTCTGAGAAGAATAGACATCTACCAGCCTCTGGAAATTATCTCGCAAGACGAAATTGAGAACCAAGACAATACGGAAAAGGAAGAAAATGCTGAAAAAAATCCATCGGGCAGACCAGTGCGTAACCTTGAGAGTAAAGCTCGCAAGGAGCCGCCAGCAGTGGGCAGCCTTCCTCCCGACATAAATCCCAACAAGCTTCCAGAGCCCACCGTTAAGGTTTTAGATGAGTATGTTAAGCCCAACAAAGTAACATCTAGAGGCACCTCGTATTACCGTTATGTGGAGAAATCTGTGGAAGAATTGGATGAAGAAGTTGAATATGACATGGATGAAGAGGTAAGTATCACTTTCTTAGTTTCAAGGTAGAACGAATATAACTTTTGTGGCTGTAAATTGACAACAACGGAAATCTAATTGTGTTTGAACTAACGTAATGCGATCAGGTGATCATTGGTCTTTCAAGTTTGAAAATTTGATGTAATTGTAGGTCTTTCTCAGACTTGGAATACTAATGTTCATAAATAGAAATGTTTCAGTCTTCAAGGATAGACTAAAACACCAAAATTGCTTACTGTACTGTGAGTGCAAAAACATTGTCATTGATTTGTAAGAGGACTGTATCTCTTTATTATACTTTATGAATAAGAGTTGTCTCTGATTACAATCTGTAACTATTAAAACATGTCTCACATGACAGTATGGTTTTCGTAGTGTGTCAGTGCTTACATGGCGAGAGTTGCTTTTTCACCTCAGCAATTGGTTTCAGTGGCAGCTACAACACAGAGATGCCGAAATCACGTGTATGACAACTAGGAAACCTGATCTTTTATTTTAATATTGATATTCTGAAAGGAAGTGTTCTGATTATTGTTCTGTTTTACTATTTGATAAAAAATAGACCAAAAATATTTTTGGATTCTAAAAAAACAACAACCCCATTGGAAAACATTTTTGATAACTTACTGGGTATGTTTTATGTGGTCGACAATTCAGACCAAAATATTACTGAATTCTATGTTTAGATATTTGTTTCATTCACCTTTTCTGTTCAAATCAGTAAAATTAATTGTTTTTTAGAATTGTTTAATTAAGAAGACTGTGATCGTCCCTTCTGGGATTATCATTTATTTATGAATCAACATGGAATAAAGGATACTTCCTATACTGAAATGCGCCATTTTTAGTCTGTGTTTACTGACGTAATTTTCAGGGAGAATGGGAGCATCAATGAATACATCATAATATTCCTCGTCGGCATTGTTGTAATGGTAATGATTTTACATGTTTCTTTTTTTTTTGTTGTGCTCAGGATCATTCATGGCTGGAGCTTGTAAATGAGAAGCGTACTAGTGATGGTGTCGCTGGTGTTGCTCAAGACACATTTGAAATTATCATGGATCGTTTTGAGAAGGAGGCCTTCTTCCAAGGCCAGCACTCGGGCAAAGAGCAAGGTCCATCTCTTGACGATGATGCAGTCTGCAGCATTTGCATGGATGGCGAGTGCCAGAACAGCAACATGATTCTGTTCTGTGACATGTGTAATCTTGCCGTTCACCAGGAGTGTTACGGGGTGCCATACATCCCGGAGGGACAGTGGCTGTGTCGTCGTTGTCTACAGTCGCCCTCACGGGCTGTGGACTGTTGCCTCTGCCCAAATAAAGGTGGGGCTTTCAAACAAACTGATGATGGCCGCTGGGCCCATGTAGTGTGTGCTCTGTGGATTCCGGAGGTAGGTTTTGCTAATACAGTGTTCCTGGAACCTATTGACTGTCTACAGCGAATTCCTCCTGCGCGCAGAAAATTAACTTGTTACATTTGTAAGCAGCGTGGTGCAGGTGCATGCATTCAGTGTCACAAAACAAACTGCTACACAGCGTTCCACGTCACCTGCGCTCAGCAGGCTGGACTTTTCATGAAGATTGAGGCAGTCAAAGAGCCAGGTCCTAATGGTATTGCCGTCGGTGTAAGGAAAACTGCTTTCTGTGACGTTCACGCTCAGCCCTGTGTTGACAATTCCATGTTCCCCGATGATGAAAAGAAATCTGGGTCAAAAGAAGATGCCAGAGAGCTTGCCAGAATCAAGATGAGGAAAGCCAGAAAGATACTTGCCCAAAAGCGCAACGCCATACCAAATGTGTCAATTCCTATCATCCCAGAACAAAAGTAAGTACTTCCTGTACATTTTACTTTTTTAGTATTTGTGACCTATCATCATGCTCTCTTTGACTTCTGCCTCTTTGCTTTGTTTAAAGCATTAAAGAAAGATTGAAAAGTATCTTTTCTGTCCTTTTTTTTGGACCTCACTTCATTCCAGCTTTTGGAAAAACTTTGTCTTTATTCATGTTCCCTGTAAAATCAGAATTGAAGGACTATTTTAAAGCTGGAAGTTTCTTTATTACTTACTGTCCATATACATTGTTTCTGTCAGATGTCACATTTTTATAGAACTCTACTGCTTTTTTTTTTTTTTTAATCCGTCAGTTTTTCTTGCTTTTTTCTCTTTCTTTGTACTGATGCTGTTTGATTTTTTTATTAAGTTTGCACTGCTTTCACTTGAATTGTAGGTGCACGATTCCATAAGCTTGTACTCATTTCTGGCATTCACGGTTACATTATTTGTCTTCCTTTAACCAGAGTGACCAACATTGCGTCTCTCATTGCTGTTCCGAAAAAAGATGACTTTATGAGAGCATTGATGAGTTACTGGACTTTGAAAAGACAGTCACGGTTTGGAGTACCTCTTTTGCGGAGGTTGCAATCCAACCACATGAGTAGGAATAGAGAGCATGTGAGTATTACACATTGTTTTTCTTCCTCTGGAGTGTTGGAAATTGCCAGCGTTGTTTTTAGAGAGCTCTGATTGTGTGTTTGAGATGAGAGGTGTGATGTGGGGATATTGCAGGCAGTTTAGTCTTCCTGTTTTAAATCATGATGTTATGAGTTTTGAGCCATAATACCTTTAAAAAAAAATATATGATCAGATTCGGACAGCATTGATTATTGATTTTGGTTTGCTATGCTTTCATGTCTTAAAGAAAAGACTTTTTGATTTTGAAGATAAGCCAAAAGAAAAGACTTTTTGATTTTGAAGATAAGCCTAAAGTTAGAACAGAAAAATAACAGAATTGTAAATTGGTCCATACTAGTTTAATGACCAGTACTTTTGATCTGAAGTTTTCTACTAAATGCCTTTTGTTGACTTTCTTATCATGTTAATGGCTTAAGTTGATTTGAATGATAATTTTTTTCTTTCAGTCCAGAAATGATAAACATAATATTGAGATGAGAGAAAAGTTAAAGTATTGGCAACGTCTACGTCAAGATTTGGAGAAAGCTCGGCTTTTGGTGGAGCTTATCAGGAAAAGGGAAAAGTTGAAGCGTGAATTGGTAAGCATTTGTTTTTCGTAGCAAGTTTCCTTTGTGTAAATCTCTTTCGTACTCTCTCTCCTTCTGTTTGGTTACAGTTAAAGAATTTCTATGAACTGAGTGATAATGTTGCACAGACTTCTCATTAATTCTACAGATGCTGGTTTTGCGTAAAGAGTTATTCTTTGTTTTGATAGATTTGTAACAAAGCTGACAATGTGGCGGTTGAAAGGTACATTTAATCTGGTCGGGCCTCCTCATAAGGTCCAACTTCACTCGGCTCATCTCAACTTATTTCAACAGGTCCGTGTTTATCAGCAATCCTTAGAGTACAAGCTACAACCATTCCTCATGCTCCTGCGTAACACCTTGAATCAGCTGCAAGAAAAAGACACAGAAGATATTTTTGCAGACCCAGTCTCCGAAGAAGAGGTCAGTTTTTATTTTCTGTTTATGTCTGAATGATCTCTGGTCAAGGAATACTGTTGCTTACTCTTTTGCTATATTTACTTGTCATTACCATGAAACTCCACCATTACCATAGGTTTTATTCTATTTTGTTTTGAAAGTTGAGTTTTTATTTTAATAAGTAGGAGTTAAAAGTCGATAGATAGTGTGGTGTTATCTGCTCCTTTCACTTCTTTTGTATTCTTTTTGTCCTATATTGCTTCTTAGTTGAATATGTATGGCCTTATTATGCCAACCCAACAGAAAGTACTACTCAACATAGAAAGTAGGAAATGTACGCAGTGAATTTGTTCGCTAATACGAAGCACCACCATCAACCGTCATCATCCATAAATGTTAAGAAGCAGAGGCCACAAACAGATCTCTCCTGAATTCCGTGTCATGGACCTTTTCTCCTTTTTACTCATGTTAGTCTTGTCTTAGATCAAAGGCAGAGAGCATATTGAATTGGCTTCCTCCAATGCTGTTGTTTTTATGTGTTCTCCCTCAAGGTTACAGTTATTGTGTCGTCCCTCTCATTCAATAATTGCCCAAATAATTTTTGTAGATATTTTGAGAAAAATAACCAAAAAATGTTGCACTTACAAAATTTAACAGTCACGACACATAGTTTTTAAAAAACATTTTTGTTTTGTTTTATTAAGATTCAAAGTTTTGAACATTTTTTATAGAAATCTGGGGAACAAATCAAATTATCTAGATAGGGCCATATCTCACTTTGCCCCAGAAATGACTGAGACATGTATCGGATGATCGTGATTTTGTCCTGGGAATTGTTTGTAAAATACAACTGGTATAACAACACCATCCCATCATTTCTGTGTGTATAACAGGCGCCCGACTACCGAGATGTGATCAAGCACCCAATGTGCTTCTCCGTGATGAGGAACAAGGTGGACACTCACAGGTACAAGTCAATGGAGGCGTTCGAGTCTGACTTCAAGCTGATCATCCACAACTGTTGTGCTTACAATGCCAAGGATACTGTCTTCTACAGGGAGGCAATGCTTTTGAAGGAAGAGGTCAGTGGACATACGGGTGGGGTGTAAGTTCAGCTCATCTACTTTTTGTCTTTCCCGTTACTGTTTCTTTTTGTGCACCTTGCGCTTTCCCTGCACTAAATGGCTGCTATTTTGTGAATGTGCCTCCCTTTACTTAAATTCAACAGCACTGCGCTACTTTTGAACAATGTGGTGTCATCAGGTAGGCAAATTTGTTCCTATTGTTGTTGGGTTTTTTTAATCGTATAAAGATGAATGTCTTCCTCCTCTAGTAATTGTTACAAGAGTGCCTCTTTTTACTGTTTTTGGTTGAGAAATTTTCAGATGATTGCTCTCTTTTGCTCTACCATTTTCTGCTGTTAAGTCATTGCATTGTTTTATTTGTTGGTTTTCAATTGGTTGTTCTATTTATCACTGCTTGTGTTGTACTTGATTAGTTCTTGGATGTCACTGTTTCACACGAGTCTATATGTGTGGCATCGTTGTGAAATCAGGCACTTGTCAAAATAATGAAATCAAAGAAACTGGCATTTTCCTGCCTGTTGGGCAATTTTTATTGAATTTTTCTTTTTTAACTAAGTTCTTTCCTTTTAAAATCGAACAAAAATGTATGATGATTTTGGATGGCTATAAATCCCATATTTTTGTCTAATTTATCCATTTTGGTGCTTCTACATAGAGTGTAGACTTGATTCTGGTGAAATACCACCCAAAAAATTTGGAAAAGAATTGGTTTTTTTTCATACATAAATGAGTGTTGCCTTTTACCTAAATCATTCTCATCTGTCCACCATCTTGAATTACTTTCTTTTATACAAAGATCAAAGCAAGAACAAAGAATTCACCTATATAGGCATTGTTTATGGACCCAGAAGACAGATAAATATATGCAGCTCAAATTGCGATGTCTGAGAGCCAAATGAAGGCTCCTCCAGCAATATTAGTGAAATATTCTATATTTATATTTATAGAAAACTCAAAATTAGGTCAATTATGCAAATTAGTTGAGTGAAATCTCTGATTTGTGTCTAAAATCAATACCTACCCAGTATGCATTACGATTAGGTAAGTATTGCAGTGATAGGAGCCTTAACAAATTAATAATAATTTTTTATGCAATCAAACTATTAATTTGCATTTCAAATTTTAACAACTAGGTCATGGTACTAAGTGGCTGTCATCTCCTCTAATTGGCCTGAAATAACTCCAATTTTTTGTGTATTTTGTAGAATTGAATATTCCTTGATGTAAACTAGAAATAGAATCAATTTAGTTAAAAACAATTTTTTTCTTCCATTCTTTGCCTATGTAAAGATGATGAAAAAAGTCTTTTTTTTTTCTATTTTAGATACCAAGTATGTAGGTCACATATGCAAATGAAATATCATACACACATAATTATTGTATCAAATCAAAGTTTCTTTAATAACCTTTCCGTTGATATACAACACTTACTGTGTTGACCTTCACAGGAATTTATAGGATTTTTAGTTCTACGTCCTCCCTCTTTACCTAAAAAAACTGGCCAAAATCCAAGAAATGTCGAGAGTTAAGCTCAACGCCTTTAACTGCCATTTAAGCACATATTTTCTGTGTGGATTTTACTTTAAAAAACAAGGCTCAAAGGCACGAAAATTGTAAATTTGCTGTTCCAAAGACACTCAAGCTTTGGCAGCCATTTTCTTGCTATTCTTACCTCTGACATATGGCGACCCCTCACCTCTTGAAAAAAAGCAAGGCAAGTGAGCAAGTTTTATGATGATACCAATAACTCCATATATATGCACAAAAATTGACAAGTGCCCGATCTCAGCATGTCGTGACACATGATACCTGTTTGGATGAACAGATCCAAGTAAAGAATAGGTAATTGTAGTAAAGGGAACTAATCCAATTTAGACATGTGTATATGTATTTTTGTATTTGATTAGATTTCTGGGCTGTGTTCCTTTGTCAAGAGATATTAACTGGATTTTGACTCATGAGGGTACCTTCATGCCACAACAAGATTGATATTACATGTACCTTTAGAGGGTTGTCACTGGACATCTTTTACCTCTGTATTGATATTACATATATCTTTAGAGGGTTGTCACGGGACATCTTTTACCTCTGTATTGATATTACATATATCTTTAGAGGGTTGTCACTGGACATCTTTTACCTCTGTATTGATATTACATATATCTTTAGAGGGTTGTCACTGGACATCTTTTACCTCTGTATTGATATTACATATATCTTTAGAGGGTTGTCACTGGACATCTTTTACCTCTGTATTGATATTACATGTATCTTTAGAGGGTTGTCACTGGACATCTTTTACCTCTGTATTGATATTACATATATCTTTAGAGGGTTGTCACGGGACATCTTTTACCTCTGTATTGATATTACATATATCTTTAGAGGGTTGTCACGGGACATCTTTTACCTCTGTTGCTTTTCTACCTTCTTTTGCGCACAGGGATCAGTCTATGGTATTTGTTTATCAAGTTGATAATGGTTTTTCTGATAGTTTATGTTTTGTTTTTTCTCAGGGCATAGAGATTATACGAGATGCCAAAAGTGTGGCAGAGCAAGTTGGGTACGAGTACAAATGTGGCCTGCATTCTGACCCATCCAGTGTGACCAATGAGTCCACGGCACCATCAGAAGAACGTGAGTGGTATATTGTTCTTCTTGATCTTTGTTTTGAAATGAATAAACCGCTGGTCAAAGATCCAATCAATGAGCTGAGGAGGGGAGGTCAATCCATAATCTTCCAACTTGGAACACAACATGTACCCCTCAATCAACATCTCAACCGAATTGGAGTAAAGCAGTCTATGTTTCTACCCCTCGGAGACAGTGGAACGTCATCTGTTCTTCTGTAACCGATTTGAGGAGATATTTTCTCCCCAAGCTACCCCACACATGTAAATGCCTCTACTCCTCAAGACAACAATTAGAACAGACATGCAACTATTACAGAATGGCATCATGTAGAAGAGTTAACGCTCAGATGCTACTGGATCACTAACAACAACATCTTTGTTTTGTTGAGGTTGAATGGTCTAGTAGATACAATATTGGCCTTTTGTAAGCAGGACAAAGGGCTGAATTGGACAAGGAAAGTACTCTCAGATCTTCGGCACTTATATGACTTAACTTTTTTGCAAGTGCTGTAAAACTCTTACAAAATCTAAAACTTATCTTCAACACATATTTGACCTAATTGTGTTGCAAGTACTGTAAGTTCTCACTAAATTAACTAAGCTTAAATTTTTGTGTACACGAAATTGAGTGATGTCTGAAGAAAAAAACCCAACCCCGTAGTGTATCGATCTCTTTAGTTATAATCATTTATTGAGGATCAAAATTATGGCTGTAGATTAAAGGGTCACATTAAAAATTGAAAAAATTATTTTATCTTTAGAGAAAGTTTGTTTGAACCAGGAAGGGGAAGAGACTACTGTTGTATGTTCAAATGACTAATCCCTAGACCCATGTGGCAAACCAAATCTGTCTGTTTTCTATTCTTTTGAAGTGGACTCAATTATTGCTGATGTGAAACCAGATGCTCCATATGAAGACCAGCTACAGGCTTTATTGTCAAAGTTAGAAGACTGCAGCAAAACTCTAAAAGGAGGTAAGAATGTGTACAACTACCAACAATTTTTTTTAAGGTAAAAATTTGTGATTGTGTACGCCATTACGATATCTGTGAAGGGAGGGTACTTTAGTGTATGCTCAACATTCTCTTTTGTGTGTCCAAGTATCTTATGTGCATGTAAGTGGACAATTTATTTTATGATTGTTTATAACTATAATAGAAATTTATGTTAGGCGTAACATGCTCAATTGGTGTGTGCGGGTGGACGGGAAAGCAGATAGCTCTTTTTTCTTGCCTGGCCCCTTCATTATGTTTGTTGTCTTGTTTTTTTTTCTCATCAGTACAAGGCTTATGTTGTATAGATGGCTTATTTGTTGTCAAAGGCACCGAACGTGTCCATTAAAAAAAAAAAGAAAAGTTTTTTCACGCTAGACTTTTCTTTCTGCTAAAACAGGTAAAAAGAAAAAAATTCTCAAGAAACTCAGATCTGAAATAGCTGTAGTGCGACGAAAGCTTGCACTGGACCAGAAGAAAAAAGGCAGGAAGCCAGTGAACAAGGTGAAAGAGGCAGCTGTGGATCAGAAAGAGGAACAAGAAGACACGGTGAAAGAGGAGGACAACTCTACCAGTGTGAAGGAGGAGACCAAGGACCAAGGTTTGTACCTACATATTTTTTGTAAACAAGCTTGTCTGAAATACATTGAAACGATATTGTGTTGAAAGATGAATGTGTTGTTTCCTGGGTCCTTTCGAGCTTGCGGTGTCTAAAGAAAAGAGGTCACTTGAAATTATTTTAACTGAAATTACATTCGATGCCATGTTTTCTTAACTCTGTAAGCGCACATGCCTGCTCCACTTCACTTGTGCAGGTATGGAGAGGTAAGTGATCGCTATGCACAGACCACACACCAGCAGGAGAGAAAGGATGCTTGGACATGCTTAATGGGGTGAAAATAAACTCTACTAGCAGGAAAGAAAGGGTGCTTGAGCTTGCTTATAAGGGTAAAAATAAACGGGACTGGCAGGATAGGGTTTAAACCAGTTCTGTTTTTCACTCTTTCACATTTTTTTCCCTTTTCCTGACTACTGTGATCATGGTTTCTAAGCTTGATGTTGAGTTGGGTTCTTGTACATCTGGGCAAGATGCCACTAATATTTCATCATATAATATCAGCAGTGCTGCAGGTGTAATATGGATGTTCTAGTGTATTTCTTTTTTATGAGGCTATTGACCCTAATCTGTTACTAGCAAAATACAGTGGTTGTTGTGCCATCCTTGCAAAGATGGACGACAATCACTGTGATGTCAGAACTCTGCAGACTTATTCCGTCCCATCTCTGAATAATTTTTGACAAATGATCCGTTGTTTTTCACCAGCTCTTCTGACAGTGGAAACAGAGAGCAGCATCCCAGTCAATGCCACCCCTACAACCACGAAAACACCCAGAGGACGTTACACACGCTCACCTTCAAGGTCTCCACTTGTTCCAACCACCCAGTCAAGGCCAGTTTCTGCCCGTGGTGGACGAGGGAGGGGCCGGGGACGTGGGGGCAGAGGCAGAGGAGGTGCATCTTCTGTGCACCGTGAGGTGGCCGAGACTCCAGGGAAACCAGGTAATAATCACAGTGTGATGATGATGAAATTGTAGTTTGGAATTTTGATTACAAAGAGCCATGTCGGTACACTATTGGGGCCATAGGGGTTCTTTTTGTCTTTCTCCAGAAACAATCAAAGAGTATTAGAGTAATTGAAAGCAATTAGAAACTGGTTCCTCATTCTCTTGATGTATAAATTCCTTGAATGAGAAGACTGTTAGAACGTCTGATTGTTTATGTTTTTCTATGTTTTTGACACTTCAATGTTAAATTATTAACAACTAGCTGGGCCTCCTTTCGATGAAAGGAATGATCGGTGCATTAACATCAACTGAAAGTCATTTGCCTATTACATTTTCACTCTACTGGAATGGAGCAATAGATCTTGAGAGGAAAGTGATTCATGTGTTTCCAAGTTGCCAAATATATAATAGATGTATAGATTGATTCTCTATTCCACTTTCGTGGTTGTACACTCCAGAATTTCAAAAGTGTGGAAACAGTGCGCACGGATAGTGAACGGAAACATCACTTGTTTACAATGGCGTCTTAGAAGACAGACTTTCCCAAGATTCTGTGTGGACAAAACAAGGCATTTTGGGAAAATCGGGGAAAGCAGTTTGTGTGGATTTTTTAAAGTTAGGTCCTAGCCCCATGGATGCTGTGGACGCCTGCAAAGTTTCAAAGGTGCGGGTTAGGTAATAAGGGAGGAGTTTGTGCACAAAGCCTCCCAAGTCCACTTTTATATACATAGATACCCAATATGATTTCAGAATCAACCAATTTATAGTTCTATTCTGCTTTTCATGGTAAAATTCGTTGTAATGTGTATGGCAATCTACTATATCATTTTTCCATGTTTTTGAGTAATGATTTTATCACTTTTTTACTGTCCAGGGGAGAAGACTGACAAAGAGACAAACAAGTCCAACACTGGCTCCCCTCTACATACACGAACAGAAACCAAGGATAAGGATAGTACTCCCACCAAGGGCAGTGCCCATACACCATCACCAGCTGGCGTGAACCGACGTACAGCCGTGCTCTTCAACAGCAAGAAGGGACGCAGCACACCAGTACCAAACCTCTCCTCTACCTCATCGGCTTCCTCGAGCGCATCCTCTGCCTCAAACACGTCTACAGCCAAGAAAGGATCAGGGCGGGGTGCAAAGACCAGGCAGCATCACCAGCAACAGCAGCAGCAGCAACAGAAAGAACAGCAGCAGCTTCAGGTGAAGGTGAACGAGTCGTCTGCAGCTGCGTTGATGGCTGAGGATGCCCCGCTGAGCCCTCACTCGGGCAGGGGACCAGCCAGTCCCACTAGCCGCAAGAGGTCGTCCAGTACAGCCGGGCAGCCCGCAGAGCCCACTGATCCCGTGGTGCAACCCTCCCCGACAAAGAGAATCCCTACAGGGGGGTCTTCTTCTGCCAACGCCACTGAACCAGCTCCTTCTTCGTCCATCCACATTGGAGGACCTGACATATGCACAGAAAGTTTCAAGTCTTACCGGGTGAGGGGCAACATCCGCAGCAGCTCAGAATCTGATACAACTGATGAACTTAGCAGCGGGGACGAGTCCTTGTCTGACCCCAGTTCCGAAACATCCAGCAATCACAGCCCTTGTGGTGAGTATATGGATTTGTCAGTTGACCGTTCAATTTCATGAGAGTACATTATATCAGGCTTTCCATCCTTTTTCATCAAATTGCTTCAATATATTCGTTCCCCACCCCCTTTTTCATTTCATCTCAGTCAGTCGCAAGCATCAGTAGTAGCTACACGCAATTCCATTTTCCTCCCCTTTCCCCTGCCTCGTCCATAATTTTTTTGCGCTGCTAATTATTCTGTTAGACAATGCAAGGATCTCTATATATTGCCTGCTTCCTTCTGCACAAGCGTTGTGCTTCTGTAACCATTTAATTTTTGCTGTAAACTTTAGACTCCTCAGGTCTTGGTCTATGCGCATCATGCCTCTACTCACAGATAAATCATACAACCGTCATATACACTGGCTTTGTGCCTGCTTATTTATTTATTTATTTTCTGTTGTCAGATTATTTTTTACATCATTTTCATTATTTTAGTGGCAGAAGTAAATAATCATTTTGTAATGTATTAACATTTGATTTTTTTTCTGTTTTGTTTTGGGAACTTACTTTCCTCACCTAGGTCAGTTGGTGTGTGCCTTAAACAGTTTACAGTGGACTTTTTTGTTTCTGTTCAGAAAGATTTTGACAAGAGTCTCTGGTAGTGATTTTTAAACCCTATAGCAAATCTCAGTTGCTTTGACAAGTCCTGAACCACCCTCTTCTGCTGCTGTTTGGCCTTTTTTTTTTCTTTTGGAGTGCAGCAATCACAATTCCTCAAATTGTCACACCATCACTCTGCATGAATTACGTCATGTAGGACAAATTCATAATGTTTGCTCCTCATTCCATTCTTTTCTCAATGAATGCGGATCTCTCACCCACATTTTCCCCCCTGCTGCACTTAGTGCACATTGTGTGTCATGGCTTTCTCTACAACATTCGTAGGTCTCTTTCCCTGGTTCAGTCACAGGTCCTCTTCCTCTTCTCTCTCCCTCCCTTTACCCAAAGTTTTTGCAATGTAATGGGTCGTGTAGGGGGATGAATATGATTGGCTACTGGGAACTGTGGTTAGATTGACTTGACTTTTGTGTTGGACTAGTTAGACATTGAACGGCCGTATGTGGCAATAAATACAAAGGAAGTTTGTGGATGAACACCTGGAAATACTAAAGTCCCCAGTCCTAGGACAATTTAAATGTCAGAATTGAAGAATCTAGCTTTTGACCAAAGATCTGATCATTTTGTATGGAAGCACCCGGTATGCAGTTGTTTGTAGGTTATCCTTTGCTTTTTTAGAACAGGACTTGTCTATTGGCTGTTAATGTTTACATTGCACACAGCTCCTTTCCAGAAGGCAAATCTAAAGATATATGCTTGGATTCCTGTGTTGTATGTTACTATACTATGTATGCACAGTATATAGATATATACAGCTGTTTTCTCAAGAGAGTTGGTTTTCCATTTTGATTGTCCTCATTATCATTCTCATTTCTCATTTTCACTTGTTCAATTTTTGTTGTAATTCCAACAGGATGCTGGTTGCTTTACTTTACTCAGTTCATCACTCTGAGCTTCTTCTATGTGCAAATCTGTTTCAAAATATAGTATTCACTGTAATCCAGTAATACACCATTAGGTTTTCCTGTTGTCTCCAGAACATAGATTATGAAATCCTGTGTAAATTATGCTCCCTTTCTCTTGAGCAATGTCAAGTTCTTGACCACCGGGACTACTGATTGTCACTCGATGCCGAACTGTTACGTTGGCATGTAAAACAAGTCAACTCAAACTCACAAAAGTCTTGTTTTCCTTTTGTCTTCACACTCTGTGAATTTCTTTATTATGGCCTAAACAGACTCTCAGGTATTGTAGCAAACTGCTAAATTTGTTTCCATGGAAAAATGGAAGCAGAAGCACATTGATTTTGGGATTAGATTTCTTTCTTAGTATTATTGTATATACACATACGCCCACGCTCAGACACACACATATAGGTTCTCCCCCATGTAGATTTGAGAATGTGTTTAAGAGTTTCTTTTTCATTGTAGATACTGCTTTTCCTGTTGTGTGTACAATAATTCTGAAGATGATTCTATGACATAGTTTTTGTCTGTTCTTTGTATTGTATTCATTCATGGCTGCTTGCTTTTGCCTTAACACTTTTTGCCTGACCACTGACCACTGCATCGTCATACCTACATCCAGAACGTAGCCGCAGCACCGGCCTCAGGGAAGGGCCCGAGGGTTCGGATCTGGCGGAGAGCACAGAAGGCATTTCGCCGGCCACCTCGCCCGCCCCAGCAGGTAGTAATCGCTAGTTGACCTTTGTCCTCCCGTGTAGCCCAATCACCTGAAGAAGTATCTACTTGTTGCATATACATGTCCCCTTTCTTTACTTTACTTCCCTCCCTCTGCCTCCTTATTGGCTGCTGTGATACTTGCAATACTTTTGTTTACTCACCTCTTTTCACTTGCCCACATGTCCCTTTTTGTTGTATGAAAACCACATTTATGTTCTGTTAAAAAAAAAATTGTTTGGACTTGTAAAATAGATAAATTTCCTGAGATGTAAACAATTTGTTCTTTTCAAAGAAGTAAGTATAAAGTGTTGTTTTGGAGAATGATTTTCTCTGAACTGTATTGGGTTTTATCAAATTAATTATATGGTATTTCCTTTGTTCTTACCTCGGAGCAACTATGTGGCTGTCAACAGTTCTTATAAAACTTAATTAACGAAATATATATATATTTTTTAAACCCAACATCTGTCTTTCAAACATTCTTGTTCCTTTTTCCACTCCAGTTGTAACCATTTTTGCAGTTCATTCTTTCTTTTTTCTAATAAAAAAAAAAAATGCACTTTAATATGTAAATGAAAAACACAACCACCAAAAAACACCAACTTACAGGAATGGGATTATATCGTAAGAGGAGACTACCTTGAAAATATTTTTGAGGAGAATTAGGAAAGTTGTTACCCTTTGCGATTGCGAATTTGCTACTGTTTCTTACCTTTCTGTTGATAAATGTTTCTGATGTCTAGATCTGTAATGCCGTGGATAATTTTTTGTTTGTTTTTTACTTTGTTATTCAGTTTGTGGGTTTAGGAAAAAAAGAACATGATTGTTCAACGTAGCACCTATCATAAATTGTATTCTTTCATTGAAACATTCTCCATGCATTATATTAGTAGTGGGTTTGCTGGTGTTTCACATGTGTTTGGTTTTTTAAAATTTATTAATTATTTTTTTTAGTGTATGCTTTTTGCTTTTTTGGTTATTTATTTTGCATATATATATAGTGTAGGCTAGTGGTAGCTTGAGCTATGCTGTGTGGTAGTTTGCCTAATGCTTGTATTGATGCACTCATAACCTTGCACCTTATTCTTCCCTTACTCCTCGCTCTCCCAACTCTTTGTAACATAGTATCTTTTAGATAGCACATTTTCCTGATCCTAAATTAATACGTATATATGCACATATATACATATATATTCTTTAATATTTCTGTGTGTTCTGTACCCTTGAGATGTCATTAGAAGTCATTGTATTGCTAGTGAATTGCACTGTCAGTTTGGTAATAATATTTAAAATGGACTAAGCTGTAAATAAATATGTGAAAAGTTTAATTTGCCTACCTATATAGAGTAAATGATTTGATAAGTAAAAATGCAATTCTGATGTAGGTCATGTAATAGTCATCACAGTTCATTTCTTGTTTCCACATGCCTTTGGTGCAAATTATCAATAAACCTTTGCTATTCCTCATGAATTTATTTCATTTTTTTGTTCTGTTTTCTTTCTTGAATTTAATTTACTGCTTTCCTGGTGAAGTTTTAGTTGAAGAATGGCTAGTTATCCAGCAGTAGTCACAAATGTCCCTTCTTTGAACTTCAAATTTCTAATGTTTTTTGGGAGTTGAATCAACTCATCATTTTTATGATAATACTGCAGTCTGAGAAAATATGGTACTAGTATCTTTTGAAATATTTATGGACAGCTGAAAAGTTTTCATTGCTTTGTGAAGCCGGCCCAGTATATATTATTCAGGGACTATTTATATTCCAATATGTTACTGTGCTAATAAAGCTAACTTGACTTTTGCAGTTCCTATGAATGCTGTAGTCTTGTTTTCCTCAAAGAAGCCTCAATAATTGTGTATTAGATTTGTACATTTAACACTTTAATTTACAACAAGTGCATTAAAGTTCAAATACATAATCAAATGACCCACCTATTGATGGTCAAACTTTTACTTTATCAAGGCATTTTGTGAAAACTTCTTTGTGTGGTTTTATCATGATGCACCCTCCTCAGTGGTTGGGTAGCCTAGCTTGTAATAACAAAATGCCAACAAATTGAGCCCATTTTCTTCCCCCCTCAGGCTTGCAGGATATTTTTATTTGGCACAAAGGCACCAAGTTGGAAAGACCTTCTTGTCTTCTCTCAGAAAATGTAGCTTTACCTGATGTCTTGATGTTTGATGATTCGCAGTAAAACTCTTATTTTTTTTTTTATTAAACTTATAAAAAAGCTGCAACAATAATGTAATGATTCTGGAAGCAGATGTGCTTGAATAGGTTTTGAATTCTTTTAAATGATTGAAGGAAAGTGATAGGATCAGACAGTTCTTTCGATCTCTTGTGATGTAATCTTGCCCAGTCTTTCCCCCCCTTTTTGCACCATACACGAATGAATATCCTAGATTCTTTATGGTATCAAGTGTAGAATTTCCTGCATTTAGCTGTATCTCTCTCCTGAGACATTTTAAGGTCCTTTGAAAAACTTTTCCAATTTCATTTTCTATTCTTACTAGAACTCGCTTTATTTGAGAATACATATTCCCTGTGGTGTATGCCATGTAGTTATCAATGTTTGATATGTTTCCTGCAGATACAAATCCCTTGTGCACGTCATAGATCAGTCTTCATGGAATTGGAGTAAAAGTTAAATTAAAGTATCCAAGAGTCTTCTTGATGTTACTGCATCATATTTTTTATATATTTCAGTATTAGTTGATGATAGACACACAATACTGCGGTTACTGTAGAGTTGCATTTTGTGCCAGTGGAAGAGGAAGCTCTAGAAGGAATTGATCACTTATAAAGCATTTTTTTCTACACTTTCAGAGATTGTGGTATCTATTTGTCTGCCTTTGGCTACTTATGTAGTTGTGCCACAGACAACTATTGCGTTTACATTTCTTAGTGAACTAGCACTTGTGCTCGCTGCAAGCACATGCTTTCTTGAAACCTCTAGATATGCTCATTGTATTACTAAGATGCTTTGAGCTTGTATAGTTCTTTTGGCCTCGTTATGATTGTTTCTTCAATTAATCATACAAATTTGACATATGACTTCAACTAAGTTCAACAGAGACAGTGGATGGTTTGAACGGGCCAAAGGTCAATCCTCCTTTACTTTCCCTGGGTTTTTCTCCCCTGTCACTTTGTTCTGTCCAAGCACTTAATGACCACTCTCATGTCAGTGTGCTTTTCTGTACTTTTACTTAACCTGCAGAGACCCATCTGCTCTATAGTGATCATTCAAACTACTGAAAAGCTGAGAGAATAGTGTGCTGTAAACATATTCTCTGCTAGTCTAGGGACAAGAACTTATTTACATCATTTAAAGAAGATGGGGATGGAGAATGAAATATATTTGTCATAAAGTGCAGCACTTGAAATTCTTACCACATATTATGGAAAAGGACAGGGGGTGGAATGTGTTCTTGAGATGGCGACAGTAACCTGATTTGATTACAGGTAAATGAAAGGATGTCTTGGTTACATGGTTGCATGGTTCCAAAGCTCTCTGAAGTTGTCAACAGCACTTAACCTCCTTGTGACACATGGAAGTTAATAACCTCTTGGACATTATGACTGCTTTTCACCTCTCCTTTTCTTAAATGGAAACATTGCTATTATAATAGCACAGCATGACTGAGTTTGTACCATCCATTATGGCGGGTAACTAATTGGTAGACTTGCCCTATTTTAATGAGGTATTTATTGCCATTGCACCCCCTGTCCTTTTCTTCCTTTGTGTGAGTTTCTCCATCCTATGGTGCCCATGGTATCAATTTATACACTCGTGGCACAGCACTTGTGACTCTGGAAGATGTGCTAGGCTCCAAATGTTATGGCTTCCCTTGTACATATTTTCTCACTCTGAACTCATTGAAATGTGAAATAAGGTTTCTCCCTTTTCAGCACAGAAATCAAAGAATGAGTTTGCTAGATCTAGTTCCTGGCAGAAGGGAAAAAGTTTCTATCTTCGAAAGTAATGCATTTCAAATGGAAATTTTGATGGACTGCCCATGCAGTAGAAGCATGCTCTTTCAGGATGGGATGTCAGACAAGATACCGCTATAGCAAATTGTGTAAATTGTTCATCACGATGAAAAGAAACAAAATACCTTTACCTGAGGTAAAAAAGCTAACAAGATCTCTTAAGCACTATTAAAAAGTAATGCCTAAATAGAAAAGTAACAAGAACTCGGGATCCCATGTTGAAAATCGCAAACGCTTTGATATGATGAGTTGAAGAATATACACATGATGGAGTGGCTGTCTCTAATGCTTGTTGATATCGTTTCATTGTTGCCCTATGTGTAAATGCTGCACTCCTGAACATTTAAAATACTCAGATATTGCAACGCTCACAGATTTGCAGGCTGTAATGCTGACCTCCCCCTTCTTGTCCCTAAGTTTGGTGACACAATAATAGAATTTGAACTAAGCTCAGGATTACTTAACCCTACATGTAAGCCCAAGACATTTCAGTTCTATAATTTTACTGTATAAAGTTATTTTTTATGTCCTACACTAGCTTCAAAACTTTTTTTCACTTCTGTGCACTGTGCACACGATTTACATCTGGAATGGGCCTAGAATGTTGGTACTTGTGCAAAATGAGTACATTCTCTGTTATGTTTCGGCAAAATTAATTTAAATGTGCTCTTAGGAAACGTAATTCAAAAGAGAATATTTTGTTAATAATTTCCGAGGTGTACGTACCATGGCAGAATTTAAGAATGATTTATGCTCTCCTGATAAAATTAGCTCAGGAGTGGCTATACCATCACAGAAGTAGTTCAAAAGCCATAATGAATGATAATGTGCTTTCAAAATTAAATTCAAAAGAGATTATGGTCAGTCAAATAGTGAATATGCTCCAGTGTCTTTGCTCAAGGCTTATTGCACAAGTCCCCCACCCCCACTAGCTTGGTGCAGAAAATTTGTTGAGTAGTAGATCTTGCTGTCTGTACAATGAATAATGGTTACGGTTAGCTTTCGTTAGACTGGCACTTTCATATGTGTACAACAGTGTGAATTGTGAGTGTCTCCATTTGTGAATCTGAAGACTGGAGCTGGTACTGAGCAAGTAAATTTGTTGTCTCCCATCTTTTAGAAGGTTCTTTTGATCAATTCTAACGATGAATGTAAACAATACAGACATATGTGAGGCAGCATGGTGGAATCAGGCGCTCGTCAAAATAATGAAAGTCAAGAAATTGGCATTTTCCCGTAGGTTTGGGAATTTTTATCGAATTTTTGTTTTTTGGTTCAACACCTTTCATGCCTTTTAAAGAGCACATTTCTGTGTGGATTTTACGGAAAAATGTTGATTAAAGGCAGCAGAAATGTAAATGTTCAGTTTCCACGGACTCTCAAGCAAAGGAAATAACTCAACTTTGGCAGCCATTTTCTCGCTAATTTTACCTCTGAAACCAGATGACCCTCATTTCCTTCAATCACACATATCTCGACTTCTAATCAACATAGATGGATATTATTTTCACTAAAAACAAGGAAAATGGACGCCTTAAGATGATACCATCAACTCAATATGCCCAAAAATTGACGAGAGCCTGATTCCACTGCGTCATACCCCATATATGATTCTTCCGGAGTTACTTGCCTTGAATGAGCTTACAAATTTAAAATAGGATGCGAATGCTGACTTGATGAGACAAAGCACTCTATATCGACTATTTTATGCCTTGGCTTGTCCTAATATATTCAAGGAAAGTTGCTGTGGCTAAGGTACAGCAGCACAGAAGTGCTAGGGTTTTCCCATAGAAATGGTTCTGGCGCTCATATGACCTTATGCAGTTGCGAGCTCCGTAAAACCCTCTACTAAAAAATATAAATAAAAAAGAAATGGTTCCTTACATCCTTTCCTTGATAATTTATAGCAGATGATTGAAGGATGGCATTAGTAGTTCCTAATTCTTTCTTTTCCCTCTATTGTTTCTGTATGTCTGTCTGACTTTTCCCCTGCACTAATTGTCTGTCATTGTGTCAATGTGCTTGTCTGTAACCCAAAGAAAGAGTGATGTTCTTTTAATGGTAGATTATATTTAAATTTGGGGGTTATTTTGGTTCTTTTGAAACCGTGTGAAGCAAAGGTCAAAAGTATTTTTTAGTTTTCTAAGATTTTGTGTATGATCACGCAGTGCAACACTCATCAGTGAAGGGATGTAGGCCAAACAGTTTGAGTTATCTGAGGTCTTTGCTGTATTGAGCAACCAATGGAGTCACTGTGGGATTTGTAGAATTTTCGCACAACTTTTAATTGGTGTTGTCTGATATTTCTGGCTGGTATGGCAGGCCACTCTAACAGGGGCTTTGCGAGTTACCACAGACTTAAAACAAACACACAGCCAGTAAGATACCTGGCCTGCACATTGACTCAGCATTACGCTCTTGAACTGACTTCCTGCTCAAACAAGTGGAATCTGAGCTTACAGTGTGGTAGAAGGAGCTTCATGGACGAGATGAAAGTCGCATCAGTAACATCACATAGCGGAGGGACGGCGCATACATCAGTTTTCTCCTGAGATCAGGTCCGACAATCAAGATTTGTTTATCTTGCAAGTTGAGTTCACCGCAGGACAATGTCATTTTTCTAGTCCAAATCAAAGGGTGATGCACTGAAAACTGGCGTTTTGTTAGGCTGTTTGTTTAGCCTGCAAAAGACACAAAGTCCTTTTTTCTATTCAGTTTTCAGAAAAAATCAAGTGTCTGCTTGTTGGGATGCAATATCCTTTGCTACCCAGGTGGTCCCTTTATAAGCACGATGGAGGCAGCTCCTCTCCTAAATGTATTGAATTGTGCTGATAGGGATATTAACATCTACAATCAATCAAGACCTGAAAGATATGAGCATTTTATATTATATTATATTTGGTGTGATGGTCTTTTAATATTTTCATGACATCAAGACGAAGTCTCTTCACTGGACCCAAGATGAAGCACTCTGCATTGTGTGCATGCTTTCCTTAAGCACAACAAATGGAAATTTATGTTTGACAGAATACCGGTGGTACTCATAGCTAACAATTGACAACAAATAGGCCTTCTAAATAAAGATTCTATCAGTCGTAATGTGTCAGTATCACTACATTCAAATCTTTTATTTTCCTTAACATTTTACTAATTTTGCTTTTACAAGCTGTACGTTTTCAAGAAACATTAGAATTGTGACATAGGGCTACCCAACACAATAGGATTGGTTAGCGTAAAGTCAACTAGACTGACCTCATGATGAACCTCAGATATAATGGATAGACCAACAGCTGCGTCTGCTCTCTTTGTGTAGTTTGTTGTTCATAGTTTGTGGTGTGGTTGTAATGTATTCTATGTTTAGTGTTCACAGTTTGTGTCATATTCTATGTGTAGCACGTGTACTTGACAGTTTGCGTTGTATTCTGTGCACAGTGTTTGTTGTGAACAGTTTGCATGTCGTATTCTATGTGGAGTGCTGGTTCCAGACTGTTTGCGTTTGTGTAGTGCTTGTTCTGAAGGGTTTACTTCGTTGTATTCTGTCCAGTGTTTGTTCTAGATGGTTGTTTGCGTTGTATCCTGTGTTGTTTGTGTTCTAGACAGTTTACTTAACAATATTTTGTGCACAGTGCTTGCCCTTGACAGTTTACTCCTTGTAATAAACATTCTACACTTTGTGCTTTTTTCTAGTTATTCCACTGAAATAATTCACACCTTGTCCTGTTTGCTTTCTATGAAGTTTGATTGCTTGATTTTTGTCTGTAAATTGTGCTGTTCTTTAACAGTTGACCTTCTAACTGCTCACTGTTATCAGTACTGTTATAACAGTTAACCTGCTTAATCCCCATGAGCCTGCGTCTGGTGCAATGCTTTGTTGCTCATAAAAGACGGAAATCCTTACGTGTTTAAATATCTCTGTCTTTTGGTAGACTGGTTAGGCTTGTATGTTTGAATCTGTACAACTGGTCACAGCTCACTTTTTTTTTTTTACTGTAAACTCAGAAAAAGCAAATTTGTAACCCTGATGCTGTCTTAAAACACCTGTTTGGGCCTGATGATATATCATTTGCTTTGCTATTATCTCCATTGTTATCACAGTACTTTTTCATTGGAGTTTTAAAAATAAGGAGCACAGGGCCAATGTCCTTTTTCAAACTGGATTTTATAGAGAAAGGAATTGTGATTCAAGGACTTGAAGAGGATGGTGAACCACGATAGCACCAAAACATTTCGTTAATATTATTTAGTAGCTGGTAAAGCTTTCAAAATGATTAGATGAAAACTATAGCTGAAACTACTGAATGTCTTTAGTTCCTATCTTTGGCATCTGCAGATGGTTTTGACTGTCTTTTTGGAAATCTGTTGCATGAATGTCATGGGTTTCTATGTTGTGCTGGGTTGTAGCTGTAAGATGAATTAACTGACTTTGTGTAGCCTAGAGAGAAAAGTATTTTGTGTTTGTGTGAAATGAAAAGCAGTGTACAGCTAATGGTTGAAGTTTTGTCCTGAAAGCTTTTCCATCTTCCTATTCCATTTGGTATTTTTTGGGTGTTTGGATGGCCATCTGGTTTGGACCTGCTATGTCTTATTTGTATTTATTTTCAGTGTTGTTTTCCTAATTTTTCATGGGTGGAATGTGGCTTTTGATGCACTGACTTACAGTTAAAAAAACACCCAACTACTCCCTTCCTTCTATTATATCTTTCTATTGTTTTTCTTTTTTGCACTCTTTTTGGCTTCCAAAGTGCTTCTCTTAAAAAAATTTACTTACAAATGATTTGTTTGTATGTCTTGTGGGATCTTTTACTTTTTCCACAATACTGGGGGTGCCACTAGTAAAATCTACTTCTTTACTGTCCCTCTTTTGTTTCTGTTTGTTTGTCTGACTGTCTCGCTGTTTCCCTACGCTAAATTATTTTTATTGCATTAATGAGCTTCTCTTCTTACAAATGAACAAAAAACAAGCATCCGGCACCCGTGTACATATTCTCATAGGAACAGGAAAAATAATGTTTTCCCCTGTTTTTGTCCCACGGTGTGACGAGATGCCTATGTGTATTGACAGGCCGTGCCCGTCGCAGTCCCAGTGTGGACTCTGACGAGCTCATCACGCTGGAGCCGCTGGACCTGGTCTGGGCCAAGTGCCGAGGATACCCGTGGTACCCAGCACTGGTGAGTCTTCTCTACTGCTGGTAGTTGTTGGTGGTTGGTACTCTCTACTGGTAGCTCTTCCTTTGCAGATGCAGTCCATCTGTTAACTCTTTTCCTGTGGGTGGTTAGAGGGTGCTTTTGTGTGGTTTGCTCTTTCTATCCTATCAAACATCTGTTTGTTACTCTCTTGTAACACCTCTAATCTTTGGCACTTATATGACCTTATTGTGTTGCAAGTGCTGTAAAACACTTACTAAAAAAACCATGTTGTCCTGATCTCTCCTCCTTTTTGTGTGTTTGTTTTGTAACACCTATTTTCAGTACTAAAATGACCTTATTGTGTTGCAAGTGCTCTAAAATTCTTACTAAAACTCTTTCCCTTCTAGACCGTTATCTTCACTGTCACTTTGGGGGGAGGAGCATTTTTTCATATGACTAATCAGAAAAAGTGTACATTTTTTTTTCTTAATTTTTAAAGTGAAATTTGAATGTGTTGTGTATCAAAATTGACTGCTCAGTGTAAGACTGTCGTATGCCACTTTTCCCAATTCAAAGTAACATATTGAAAGAGTCTTACACCCAGCAGTCGAAATGCAGAGAAATGATTTTTTTATCAGACAGGGCTGAGGAAAAAGTAACTTGAGCTTTAAATAGTGGTTTATCGGAGTCTGATAACAGAACTCCGAAATTTCTGCTCACAGTAGGGAATGAGTTAAATCTGTGGTTGGGTGATGGAAGTTATGCTATGGTCTCTTCCATGTACTTTTTTCAATTAAATGTTATAATGACCTGTAAAAAACTGTTTACTTTTGGTATTCCTTTTCAATGTCTATTAAGTGTTTATTGAAACCAACAAACAAAATTTGGTAATGATTCTTCTTATTTCTATGTTCAGATCATCAACCCGAAAATGCCCAAGACTGGCTACTTCCACAATGGTGTTCCAATCCCTGTCCCCCCGGATGAGGTGCTGGAACTGCAGAGCAAATACTCCGAGTCTGTCTACCTGGTTCTTTTCTTTGATACCAAGCGCACATGGTAAGAAACCATCTTTCTTTTCCACTTAATGACAATGGCTCGGCCGTTGCGAATTCATGTGTGTAAACTTGAAGTGGGGAATATCGATAATACAATGTTCGAATTGTGAAGCTGGTTTCATTAAAATTTTTCAGCAGGTGAAAAAAAAAGCATTCTAATTTGAATGATTAGAGAAGACACAAATTAGGCCGCAGTGCTTTGATACTATCTTTAGTGCGTGCTGACTACTGACTTTCTTTGGAGGTGCGCAGAATGATTATGGCAATATGTGGAGAGTCCTGACGGTTTGGTCCACAAAGTACATACTTCATAATTTGGGTTTTTGGTACAAATGCAAAGACGACATAATTCCCCTTCATATGACACCAATATCAAATGAATACAATAATATTTAATGGAATGAAGCACGATTCAATATTGGAATGCTCCACTGCTGTCCGAGGTAAAATACTGAGAAATTGGCAATCAAAGATTTGACAAATGCCTCCATAGCAACAGGCATCTTCTAATAAAGCTTGGTCAATGAAATTTGGCACACATATTAAATGTTTCAATGCAAATATACTCACCAATTTTCAAATCATTTGCATCAATAGTTTTGTTTTTAGAATGTTTTCTCAAGGGCATCAGAACGTAAACAAAACAACAACAAAAAAAGACAAAACAAGAACTTTAAAGCTAAAGAGCTATAATTAATCATGGTTCTAAATGTCAATACTTGAGTAGACATTGAAAGACTTTAAACACAAATGAAATACAGGATATACAACAGTTGGACCAGCGTCTGTGGTTCAATAGTTTGGCTCTTCATCTATCATTATCATGCAGAGAGCTGGAGTTCGAATCAAGGCCCATGTGGAACAAATTTTTAATGGAGTATCTTTGTCTCTCTTCTAGGATGTAGCTTAGCGTCCCTCTCAGCCCAAATTGGCCATGACAGGCAGGATCGAAGTAGCCCGCCTCTTAAATGACCATACAGTGTTGCGAGGTGCGAAAAGCAAAACAAGAGATCTAGGACACCGGTTGGGGACTTTATTTATCAGGCCCCAAAACATTTTCACTGACTGTGCTGAACTGGCGTCTGTGGTGTTATGATAAGGCTCTTTGCCTATCATGTAGAAGACTACTTTGATTCCCACCTGGGGATGAGCATCTGTTTTTCTGCTGGGATTCCTCCCTCTCAGCCCAGGTTGGCCCTGACAGGCAGAGTCGATGTAACCCGTCTCTTAAATGACCTGCTTACAGTGTTGCTTGGGACGCAAAACAAACCAAAAATTAAACTGTTCTGATAGCTGCAATATATGTCTCATCACTTGAACAACAATTTGCAGACAGAGAAAAATTATAACAATAAAAAAAAAATATATATAAATGTCGCATTTGTAAGATACAGCCAATTCTCCCCACGAATGTTTTGAGTTTCTGGCCTTCATTAGGGCATCACTGACTAGATCGTACCTGGAAGCCATTTTGGAAAACTAAAAAATCCAAGAAGTTTTGAGCCAATGAGAGTATCGGAAACTAGGGAGTTCCCCTTTGTAACAAAGGAGGTCATTGAAATGTTTACAAATACAAGCATTCTTTCAAGCCCTTTCGTAGGCCGTAAAGGGGATCCCAAGGACTTAAAATAGGTCTCAATGGAAAGCTAAGAGCTTGTCTCCTTATACGCAATGCGACGTCATGTCGCTTGTGGTCCTTGCCGCTCTAAAATCAATCAAGTAAGATTATAAAGAAACCCTCTCCTTACATGCGACACAACCATCGCCTGCGGTCAGTCCATATAGCAATCGAGGGTCTCGTCGCATGCGACAGACTAGGGGTTTGACTGGTTTAGAGCATTACCATTGGTCAAAATGCCTAGCCAAGGAGTGCCGGTCGACATGCCATGGGTTGTGTGTGTATGGTGTGTGTGTGTGTGTTTTCATTTTCAATTGGACCCAATGCAAGTTTTGTGAATCTAATTTTGCTGTTTTGTTTTTTTAACGGACAGCAGGAGGAGGATGAGGAAGAGGAGGAGGAGGAGGAGGAGGACGCATGGGATTGGCTATGTACGGAATAAAAAATTGTCAACGGCTTGTAGAACTCCCAACCGATGGACTTTGTACTTCCTTGTCCATCTTCACATTAAAATTTGCCACTGTCTCTCTTCTGGGAATTGCTAGTCGCTTTCGGCGAAATGTCACGCCACGTCTATGGATACAGTTTTGTCGCTTTTGTAGCATGCGACTGAAAATTTTAGTGCTATGTGGCCGTGCATAACAAAACACCTCGCGACTCATCACTAGCGACAGTCCCGTGTGACTAAGTGTCGCGTCGCGTCGCGCATAAGGAGACATAGCCTAAGGATTCCCTCTTTCCAGCGTTATGTGGTTTGCCAGGTAATTTTCAAACAATATCATTTCACCGAGTAATAAATGTTACACAATATTGCATCACAGAACAAAGACATTTTCCAAAAAAGCTTTATAAACACATTTAACAGCAAATTGAGAAGTTTCCGCCATGAATGTCAAGTTACAATGTGAGGAGGAGGGTGATTTTAAAAATTAGATCTAAATTTAATTTTTTATAAAAGTCTTTGGGGGGGGGGGGGGGGGGGGGAGTAGTATGCAATTGAAGGAGTCGCTCCGTTCGTCCGCCCGCTTGAATGCATGGAGCCCATAATGGAGTCTCTCCGTCTGCCGGTCCGCTCGCTCACTAAACGAACTGTTATCTCTGTCCGAAGTGTAGCTAGTGCCAGCGAACTGTTCGTTACTCCCGGATGCTGATTTAGCAAGCTCGACCCAACTCTAATAAAAGGTGTTGAGCCAAAGAACCAAAATTAGTATAAAATTGCCCATCAGTCAAAAATGGTGGTTTCTTTGATTTAATTATTATGACGAGCGCCTGATTTCTTCAGAATGCCTCACAAATCGTTATTCTGCTGGCCACTCCTTTTTAGAAGTAAAATGAGTGTAAGAAGGTTGATCTGCCAATTGGCTTTTTCCCCCCAGTGCTGAAAATAATCATTATTGTCTCAGTTTGCTCTATATTAATGTGAGCAAACTTTTATTAGCTGCGCAAAGTAACTACCATTGTTTCTTAGGTAGTTGCAAAACAGTTTTAGTAACATGCTGGAGAGACTGTAACAGGTGTGCGAGAAGCTGGTCTGAAAATGTCTTGTTATATTCCGAAAATTTCTCATGGATGTGGTACCTGAAAACAATAGGGGAAAACAACCTTTAATTATCCACACAAACCACATGCTGCCTTTGTAACATCCACTGCCATTGTAAACGACTAAGACAAATTGTGAGATGAATAATGTTTGTCAATGTCATAATTAAGAAGTTTCAGGATTTGCTGTTTATCAAAGCCATTTGACTGACATCTTTGATGCAACAAATAGGCTCTTCATGCCAAAGACAAGAGTTCGATTCCAATATGGGGATGCCTATTTTGTAGAGTATTTCCATCTTCTCTCCTGCTGTGTCCTACTCTGGTTGGCTTATCCCTGACTTGCTGAGTCTAACACCTAATTTTTAAAATAACTTAAATGATCTCAACTTGGGTGTAAAATATTTAGTCAATCAATCCAAGCTGTTTGTGTGATGAATGAAATGTTTCAAAAGCAGTTCATCTCTTGACAGTCAGCTTTTACCATTGGGATCAAGGTGAACACAAATTTGTTCAAAGTTTTTTTGTTTTTTTTTTAAATTTTGAGTGGAACAGGTAATCTATTTCAAAGCAAAAACCATTTACATTTGAATTGTTTATGTTTGTGTCTTGTCTATTAGGCAATGGCTGCCGCGTAGCAAGCTGGAACCTCTGGGGGTCAACTCGGACCTGGACAAAAGCAAACTGATGGAGAACAAAAAGCCCAATGTGCGCAACGCGGTGAAGAAAGCCTATGAGAAGGCCATCATCCACCGGTGTCGCGTGCGAGGCGACCCCAACCCCCTGTCAGATGACTCCAGCTCAGACAACAACCAGTAGTCTTTGTCCAGTTTGTGTTATCATATTGGAAATTGTGATGTCTACCAAGTTATCAGGGCTGTTAATCATTCTGATTGTCAAGTGTGTGCATAGTCGATAACTGAGATATTTGTATAGGATCTGTACCGGGCTCATGTATACAGGTCGGTTTGGGGGGATTTGCAGAATTGTACTTTTGAAGTCTTTGTTAATATATATACACAAGTCGTTGTTGTATTGTGATGTGCTTACTGTGAAAGTGTCCAGAGACACCTCCCTATGTGTGAACTGAATGCTGTTGGAGATGGTAGTGGTTCACGAGAGATGTAAGAGTTGTTGGATGAATGAATGCTCATGTTGAACAATGAATGTTAACTTCCCCCCATTTTGGCCAACTGGACCAGAGTTCTGTCCCTTATTCCTGTGATGCAAGTGTCATAGTTCTTTTGTGAAGTAACAAATGAAATGCACAAATTTGAATAATTTTATACTTTGATGTCATTTCTCCATGAATTTATACAGTATGTTTTTTTTATTCTTTTAAAAATATTTCATTGAGATGGGCTTCTTTGTTGGTGTTTTACACTTTTTGTTTGTTGATTTGTTTTCTAGTTTGAATGTTTGAAACGAAATAGCAGTGTTATGATGTTGTCCTCTTTGTTTCTTAGAATTTCTATAAGACAGGATCTTGAACTTGGAAACTTGAAAATTCGGTTGACATGAGTGTAATCTATATTTTTCCATAAACACTTTGTCCAGTGATGGTGGCTTGGCTTGTAGTTGTATATATATATACACCAAACAAAGACTGTATCACAGGTCTTTTTTCGAGGGTTGCAAATGAGCTTTCCAACTGAAATACAAGGAGAATGTACCGGGTGGCGGCATAAAGTACAGTTGTGCAAAGTTCTGTCACGGTTTGTAGCACTGTTTTTGAGAGTTGTAAAATTTGATCATGTGATGACACGTATGAAAATCGAGGTGATGTTTGGTAAACCATATTGATTCTTGTCCAAAAATAACCTGTCACACTCATGTGGCATTGAGGAGGTGGGGAGGGGGGGGGGTTAGCTTGTAACTAGTTAATAAGGCTACTTGTCTGGTGGGTAAAGTCTTATGGTTGAATGCTTTTTGCATTTTAGAGGGTAAAGGGTGTGTACTTTGTTGAAGAGCCATTATTAGGAAGGAATGTTCAGACCTTTGGATAATGTTTCATTATTTATTTTGGTGAATTTGAACCCAAATTTTTGCATAGTGTCTTTCTAAACATAAATTATCAAGGTTTCAAATGATACAATAGCTGTTTTACTTTTATGTTGATAATGTGTTGTCCTGCTGCCTATTTTCTGAAAGCAGCGTTGCATCCCACTATAATCCTCGACAGTATTAGGGTGAAGCATTTTTCTCTAGCATATTTCAGCTTGAACAGTACTTTAGTGAGTCATTTTCTAGTCGAAGCAACGGCTAGCAAAGAGTAACAAAGTAAACTTCTTTTTTTTTTCAGTTGATTTGGGCATGTAGCATTACTGCTTGAGATAAATATTCTGATTGTTAAAAGGTTGAGAGTTTGCTGTCCAGGGACCAGTGTGGATGTTTGTGTACCACCAGAACTTAACTGGTGCAGTTCAGTTCCACTGTCATTACTGCCACCTCTGTCATGATATCTTTTCTGAATGTGAAGAACTGAGGCTAAACCCACTTCTTTCTCTTTCAGCCGTTTGCCCCTGGCAGTTTTTGCAACCAGGTTTGCCCCCGGTTTTTGAAAAACGGTGACTAGAAACCAACTTCGTATAATTTTCCAACTTGTATGTTAATGGATTTGTCCTGAATTTTCTTTGCAGAGTGTCTTTCTAAACACAACTGAACAAGCTTCAAGAGCTGTTGAGAGTCACTATTTTTCTTTTGATGCTCCCTTTTTTTGTCATAAGGGGTGTTTACTTTTTTTTTGGGTTAAAGTCACTGAATGCTGTTTGTATTTCATTTAAAAAATAACATGCAAACTGAATTGTACACATGCCGGGGTTTAAAAGCAGCAAACTCTTCAGCGCTGGTTTTTTGGGGTTTTAAAAAAATGATTTCTGTCAAGCATGATTCCTTTACATTATACATTTTTACTTTTAAAATAAAGATTGCAGATTTGTGTAATGTCCTTTTGTGCAATTGATCAGTGTTGTTGTGATGAGTTTTCTCCAGTTTTGTGTCATTTGTTCCTGGCCCATTGTAGAGCTGCCTGAGGAATGGTTTGCAAAGCTTGGTGTGGATTGTGTACCTCTGAAGCAGTGAAACCCTGTTATAGCATAGTTTGAGGTGTCCGGCAGTTACGCTAAGTCTGCGGTTTGAAGTTTGTTTTCCAAGTGACATTGATCTGATATCATCAGATATGCCAACTCTTGCTTTAGCTCAGATGTTACACTTTTAACATCTTGTTAGTTCAAACTTCTTGTGAGTTGCCTGCGGCGGAAAAAGTTTCTGAATCTCTTGTTGGTTTCGGAGAAAATGAAACAGGAATGATTCACCTTAGGTTTGAAAAACAATTCTTGTTCGGGAAAGAGCTGACCCTTTGAGTCATTGTCTGAATTGGCACACATCTTCAGTATGTTTGGACAGGGTTTTATTGTCCAATATTCTCCTGTCGCTAGTCATGGCGGTCACTGTACTGTGAGGGAGAGAACTTTTTCTTGTGTTTGACAGCTTTGTCGTTATTGTTGGCTGACAATTAGGGCTTCTGATACCACCATTGTTTTTACGAGAACATGAACAAGTGACGAGTGAGTTGAGCTTACATCCCCTTTTGAAACTTATGTACATTTAGTTTAGAGGAGAGTCTTCATGGTCAGAGTGACAGTCTTCTTACCCCTGCCTTCTCCAGCCATACCATTGTATAAATAGCTTAGTTCAGTGCTTCCAATTTTCCATATTTTTATGGAAATACGTACTTTCTGACATTTCCGTACTTGCTCTCCATTATTATCAACTCCATCAGTAAAAAAGTGTGATAGCATAGGGCTACCAAAGTACTGTAGCAAAGTCTAGGCCCCTAGACCCCCGGTAGAATTTTCCTAAATATTCAGCTTGAGCTGTTGGACGCACTGGTAGTTGGACTGTCTCCGAGTTATAATGTTCCTCTTTTAACTGTCTATGGTTTTGCTGGAGAGACTTGTCATCCTTTGAGAGTGTGGTTTGTTGTTGCACTATCTGTCGAATGAGTTTGCATCTGAGTCTTATTGGCTGTTGGTGTGACCCATGGTTCAAATTCTTGCAGAGTTGTTTCCTAACTCAGGGCCCATGGTAGTTTGGCGCGTGTTTAAAGCTTTTCAACGTTATGGTCCTACTTATATTGGGCATTAATACTTTGGGTTAGCATTGAAGGTAGCATTAGTGGTATAACTCAGACTCTGCTTCTTGGCTTTGACACAAGACCTTTTGTTGTAGATAATGTTGATAAACTCAGTGCCTAAATCTTCTACTTGTTGTTGGCTAGGGTTTTAGGTTGAATTGTATAGTGATGGTTTAGAAGCAGTAACAATGGTAATGGACTGCAATGTGGGATTTGACTGAAAGCACATCTCTCTGTCAAATACCCTTTGTGTTCACATAATGATTAATGTGACAAGATGTACTTTGACTTTCGAACATCTTCCAGATTATAGAATTGAATAGGTAATTTGCTTATGACCATACAGCTAGCACAGTGTGTTGTATTTCCCCTTTTCGATCACTATTTGAATTCCCTAGTCGAAGGTTGCTTGCACAAAAGGGTGAACTACAGATAAATATGATTTTTGTGTTTCACCTTTACAATAAAGTACCTTTACTACAAAAAAAGTGTTAATATTTCAGCGTGGCTGCTAATACTATACACCAAATGGTCATTGCCTAGCCCACTGTTGTCAAACTCAAGGTCCATGGGCATGCGGGAGAAATTTAGGTAGTGGTAGTCCGCCTTGAGAGTCCCTTCAACGTAGAATCTTACACATAACATAAACGAACTCAAGAAAAGATGCCAAACATCCAGCTGTTGACAAACTGGCATAAAATCAAAATTTGCTATGCTCTTGATTTGACATAAATTTTCACTTTTTTTTTCTGTTTTAAGTCGTATTTTGTTTAAAAAAGGTTTCGGTTTTTCCATTGCTCAGTGAGTGTTTACCCAGTCTGGCCAGCAGCCTTAGTTTGACAGCCCTGTTGAAGCCCTGTTGTCAGGATTTGAAAAGTTTTCTATTTGGTAAAAGTCTTGCCGTGTGTTATGAGTCAATATGGTCAGAGAAAACATAGCACAAATAAATGGCTTAGGGTTCCAGGCAAGCCCATGAATAGTTTGTTGGTTAATGGCTTGTGGAGGGGTCAGTATGTGTGTCCCACAGAGTTTGCTGTGAAAATTGGAATTTTCAAACCTTCTTTGTGACCTTCGATTTTTCAGTCTTGTCTCCTGTTACTGGTTCTTGTCTCTATACATGCAGCATAGCCGTTCTTGAGACTGTATGACTGCACTTTTTTACATGCCTAGATTTCATGTACTTGTACATTACTGCTTGCCATCTCATATTTCTTTATTTTGGCACCTCTAATTTTCTAAAAAGTACTTTGTTTTGATCCTTTCTCATATTCTCTGCGTAATTTATAAATTATTTATAGCTTTTTGATGTTATTTTCCCAGTGTTCTTGTACTGTCAAGGAGAAAAAAAGATGTGTGTGATGCAACTATTTTTGATGCATGTCAGTCCGAGAGATCAGAAAGGATCTCGTGAAAGGGAAGGACAATTTTGTTTATGAAACAACTTAACCATCATGTCTTACATTTAAACTACTGAAGTTACACGCTTTTTTTCCTTTCTTCAAACCCTCACAACTGAATGATTTACACAATGTGTTTGGTACGGATCGGGCTGTATACCTTGTTGCGCCTGGACATAGACTGAGTGCAATTTTTGCTGACATTAAAATCTGTACTGTTGTATCAGGTGTTTAGAAACATGTTTCAATGGTCGCTGAATATAGAGATGAACTTTAGTACTGATCTCCTTGCCTCATCAGTTACATTTAGAAAATCGGAATGAATGTAGCAAAAAATCTTTTATTTGATTTTGGTTTCTCTAAACCTTTTCTTTCTTCCCCAAATTTCAGAGCCCTTTCACATCAGTCTATTATGTTGCAAAAAAAAAAAAATTGGCCCAAAAAAACAAATCAGGATTGTTATATATTTGAAATGTAAAGGCTCAACTTTAATGGAACCAAAAATGACTCCCCAAAAAACTATAATATGTTTGTGTTGGATGAGCTATAGTTGGTGTGTAAAAGAAGAATTTCACAAGTTGGTGTGCACACAGTTTGACAGAGTATTCTTTTCAAATGTCTTGTTTCAGACTCATGTCTGAGTTTTTTCAAGTATAGTATTTGGAGTTCTTTTGATGTGTCACATTTGAAAAAGCATTCTTGGGTAGGATTATTTTTTGTTTTGTTTTTTGTTTCAGTTGCAAGTTACAACTCACTGTGGGCAACTTGTTCTTTTATAACTATCGTTTTGCCTTTTTTTTTGTGATTAGAGATATGTGTGAAAGGAGGGGGGGGGGGAGCAGAGTTTGGTGGGCCAGGCCTTGTTCTTGTGTTGACTGGCAGCACGTTCTGCTTTTGACAAATGTTATTTATTGGTTAGATTGTTGAGCGATATTACAATGCGATATCTGTGACTTGTCAGTCTTGTTTTTGTGTCATATGTTGGTATACATTGTCGTATACTATAGACGCCTTTGTTATGTCATTTTGGTCTCTTTTTTTCTTTTCAGTATCAAACTCATTTGCTATCCACTGTGAAATAAACATTGAAATGTGATCCGTCTGAGACTTAGTTATATCTCTGTCATGTTTTGAATATGTACAGGCTGGCCATTTTGGCACTGTGGGTTATACTTTAGGTCTCTCAGGTGGATATCTGAAGTTCAGATAATGGGTGGTTGGCGGGTACTCTGGTGTGGTTTGCTCCTTCTTTCCGATCAAACGTCTCTTGTCGTTATCTCCCTTCCTTCTTTTTTGTGTGAATTACATTCTTGTAACACCTCTCATCTTCGGCCCTTTATATGACCTTATTGTGTTGCAAGTGCCATAAATAACTGTAAGAAAACAAGATGTTCAGGTCTGATTTGGATCTGAATTATTTTTGTCATCCTTCCTTGAAAATTCATTGCATTTAATGACCATTATTGTGTCAGTGCGCTTCTCCTTACTCAAACCAAACACTTTCTTGGATGGTTTGCGGGTGCTCTAGTGTAGTTGGCTCCTTCTTTCCTTTCAAACGTCGGTCGTTGTTATCTCTCCTTTCTTTTTTTGTGTTTGTTACTTTCTTGTAACAGTCGCTGCAGTGAAACCCACAGGGAGCACGAGGCAGGGATAGGCCACGGGAAACATGGAGGAGATGCGTGGAAAGGGACATGAGAGAGATGAAGCTCACTTAGAAGTTAGAACGAGCATGGAATGATGGCCCAGGACAGAGATAAAATTAATAGTAGGAGCTTGTAAGTGGCCTATAGGTATGCCCTGACTGCCAGGGGTGAAAGGCATTGATGATGATGATGACTTTCTTGTTACACCTCTAAACGTTGGTACTTATATAACCTACATGTGTTGTAAGAGTCGTAAAACTTTTACTTAACTCTTGCTAAAACAAAACAATACAAAAAGGAAGCGGAAAATCTGACATCCTTGCAGGAAAGAACAGAAGAACGTTCAACCAGATGTGCACTTGCAAAATCAGTGGAAGGACCCTCGGCAACATTTTGGAGAGAGCAACGGAGCATCAATGGACATGTCTGGGCTGCAGGGATGTTGCTTCCTGAAACAATGAACAATTAAACAAGACAAACCAAACACCTTCATTTCCCCACTCAAACGACGTTGCAGATGACAATAGGAGGACTCGACTCGTTTGTTCTGCCTTCTCACTTTACTCTGTTGTCCCGGTCTGTCATTTCCGTGGGTGATTGGCGGGTGCTCTGGTGTGGTTTGCTTCTTCTTTCTTATTAAACATCTATCGTCCTTATCTCCCCTTCTTCCTTTTTATGTTTGTTACTCTCTTGTAACACCTATAATCTTCTGGCGCTGATATGACCTATGCAGTTGCGAGCGCCGTAAAACCTCTACTAAAACTTAAACTGTCATTTCCGAGTGCACAACTTGGCAATTATTGTGTGGATGTGCACTGTTTAATCCAAGCAAAGGGACTCTCTAAGGACATTAGCTCGATTCTCACTTGGGGAAAGATATCACGTCGACGATTTCAGTTTTTATTCGTGAGTGGGGGGGGGGGGGGGGGGTCGGCGGGTGCTCTTGTATTGTCAGCTCCTTCTGTCCTATCAAACTTCTAACGTCCTTATATCTTTTGCGAAAGCAGTTCCTCCTACTGTATGTTTTGGGGGTTTTTTTTTGGTGTTTCTTACTGTGTTGTTTAGTTGTTGTTTTGCTTTTTTTTTTAAACCTGTAAATTCTTTGCCATGGATCGACAGACTGAATGGCTGGAACTCAAATGGCCGCTGGATCGGAAAAGTGAAGTAAAAGTATTTTCAAGTGTTTTTTTTTCCTTCGTCCACTTACTTTTTACATAAAGCTCGACGAGTGATCCAGGGATGCCTTTACCTTTAAAGGTCAATATAATGCAATGTAGAATTATCTTTGTAATTGAAAGGGAAACTGCTTTGCTAATTTTCTGTGAAGCCAATGAGAAAATAACAAAAGTAGGAGCCCCCCCCCAAAAAAAAATAAAAATTAAAATTACATGTAATAAAAAGAAAGGAAAAAAATTTAAAAAACCAAACACAAACAAAACAACCCAATAACAATGTAGGCTTTCACTCCGTATTTTAACTTCATTGCAAGTATCCACTTCTAATTTCGTACAAGGCGGAAAAATAAAGTTGGACAAGCACACACTCAAAAAAAAACTTGGCTTATGATTGGATCAAGATGTTAAAAACGCGAACTTTGTGAACATGTTCCTGATTACATTTACTTTGTAGTTGTTGTTCTGGCTGTTACTGCCGCTGCTGCTGCTGCTGCTACTGCTGCTGCTGCTGCTGCTGTTGCTGCTAATGTCGCTGTTATTCTTTCACCTTCCGATGCCGGGTGGGAATTGATACTGATCTATTGCCTCTTGTTCTTTTTGTCCCATGGTCAGATCTCTCACGTTTGGGGATTTTCCATCTGCCATATTCTTTTTCTGGGCAATCATGCGTGCTCTTGATAAAACATCTGCGAGCAGTTCGATATACAAGTCTTTCGTCAGCGTGTCGATTCTCGAGGGACTTGCAGACGACATATGGACGTCTAACAGAGGCAATAGTTGGAAGGAGACTTCCGGCGAGTTATCCGGATAAGTGGATGCTTGTAGTGGTTGAGAGGAGCCTTCAGAGGAGTCGTCCAGATAACGGGAATCCAGATAATCGGTCTCTGATCGAACATCATAACGCACTCCATCGTTGCCATTTCTTCGAGCTAGATTTCCGTCTGATGTGAGATCATTTCCGATACCGTCAAAAGAATTGAGCTGGTTCAACTTGTTATTCCTTAGATTGAGATATCTAAACAGCTTTGATCGATCTCTTTTTCCTATGCCCATGTGGGCGAATTTCGGATCTATGAAACTTTGTCGGCTCTCGTGGGACAGGCTTCGGGGTGTAGCTAAGTCCCGGGTGGTAGGAACGGCAGCAGACGTTTCGTACTGTTTGACGAGATTTTCCACAGACGATTCCACTTCTGACTGGGTCATCGGTCGCCCTGGGTCTGCTGCCCCTGGAGAGAGAATGAGGATAAGGAAGTAAGAGGATAAGGAAGTAATTATACGTAGATCTACACGGACATGTTAAAACAGTGGGGACTTGATTAAATATAGGTCAACTACTCACAAACCCGTATCCGTGTACCCCTCACTCACCCACCCCCAGCCTCTCAAACTAGTCTACCCCCCTCTCTCTAACATGCTCACATGAAAGAGCACACATACAAGAGGGTGCGTACGCAGAGACCAGGCACACATGCAAGAGCACGCATGCACGCACGCACGTGCGCGCGCGCACACATACACACACACACACACACACACACACACACACACACACACACACACACACACACGCGCGTGCGCACAAACACAAACACACACTCTCACACAGTCATGTAACACAAACACACTGTCTCTCTTTCTTTATCACGCACTCATTCACTCAAACACATCCATACATATACACAAACACGCATGCAAATAATTATATTATACATGTACAAACATTCAATAATGGCTTGCTTTCTCATTTTGTCTGTATGTTTGAGTTGGCAGTTTTATCTTTTTGTCTGTTTGTTTTGTTTTGTTTGTTTTGTCGTGATTTGTTTTGTTTTTTGTTTTTGGTACTGCTCTGTTACAATATCGCCTGAGGAAAATCTCGTCAAACACTACGGCCGGGCTCTCGTGGTCTACAGGTTAAAGTGTCTGCCTCTTATTCAATAGGTCGCAGGTTCGAATCCGGATAGCGACAGAAAATTTTCTTTCCCAAAATGTTCTCCTTTTCATCCTTTCCTGCTCTCTAACAATGTTCTGTCGTTTGCTTTTGTCTCCACCTTCTGCCCCCACCCCCTTACCCCCTTTGTCCCTCCTCTGGGCTCTTGACTCTTTTCTGCAGCCTTTCAACTGCTACTCCTTGGCTCCTTCTTACTGCTGTCTTTCAGTGAAAAAACCCTGATCTTAATTTATGGTAGGAAGACCTAACACCTAGCCTTCTCGGAAAAAGACAAAAAATCTCGGAGGTCCCGTATGCAAGTTATGCACGATAAAGATCCCTTGGTGGTCCAAAATCGATATATATGAGCAGGCTTCGGCTGCCACCCGGGCAAAATCCAAAATTTCCTACCAACTAAAAATGTTTAGTGTGTCCCGCTCGTTCATATGACCGTATGCAGTTACGAGCGCCGTAAAGCACTTACCAAACTACACACTACGAAAAGTCTGCTATCGTTCCCAATACCTGAAACTTTGCCACACCCTGAAGCCTGTCCCATGAGAGTGAGAGCCGACAGAGCTTTATAGACCCGAAATCGCCCACATGGGCATAGGATAATGAGATCGATCAGGGCTATTAAGACATCTCAATCTAATACCCAGTGCCCATTGCTGGATCGGTTCTCTACCACAAACCGATCGCCCGACTTGCGGCCTTGAAAACAATCGCCACGATGGTCACTTTTCGCCTTCAATCTGGACAGCCCCACCTACTAAACCGAACAAATCCGAACCGATCGTGCCAACGGTCACTGGGTATAAGGAATAACGCTCACATGCATGTACACGCCCGCACAGATACATTTTCTCTCTCTCTCTCTCTCTCTCTCTCTCTCTCTCTCTCTCTCTCTCTG